CCAGGTGATGATGTCACTGATTATGATGATGTCACTGTGTCTGCAGCTCAGCCATCAACGCGGTGTCCTGGTCCCCGTCCGGGTCGTTCGTGGTCAGCGTGGAGAAAGGAAGCAAGGCCATCCTGTGGTCTGACATGTGATTGGCTGATGGAGCTGAGGGGCGGAGTCACAGCAGGACATGTGTGTGTGTGGGAGATATAAATGAGTCGATCAGCTGATCAGTCAGACTGACTTTATCTTTGTCACGTTTGGAGGACGACTTGTATACGCCATCCTGGGACCGCCGCGTCTATCTCAGCGGCCATCTTGGATTAAGGAGGACTTTAAAGAAGCGTAAAGAAGGAGATGAACGTGACAAACATTTTATAAATATATATGATCTTATGACTGTTTATGTGACAGGTGATAAACAGAGCGGTTACCATGGCAACAGATGGACAAACGCTCTGAAGGACCGCCTCCTCCTCTCCTCACCTTGTCGGAGAAGAGGTAAGGAGGAGAGGAGATGACTCGTGTGTTTGTGAACTGATAAAAAATAAAACACATCTGTGCTCTTCATGGTTTATATGTCTTTATATTTGTTTGGTGGTTCAACCTGTGGCTGTGGTCCTCCTGAGGGCCGCTCATTAGCTAATGATAGCCAAACAACATTAATACAGAAGTCAGCAACTAATTCCTAACAGTCTGTTAGACCTTAAAGCTCAGTATTTCAAAATAAATGTGAGTGTTACGGTTGACCATCTTCAGGCTCCTCCCCCCCGCTCCACGTGAATATTAATTAACCGTGTGTGACTGAGTGGCTGTGTGACTGTGTGTGTGACTGAGTGGCTGTGTGACTGTGTGTGTGACTCTGTGAGTGTGACTGTGTGTGACTGAATGACTGTGTGACTGTGTGTGTGACTGAGTGGCTGTGTGTGACTGAATGACTGTGTGTGACTGAATGACTGTGTGTGACTGTGTGTGTGACTGTGTGTGACTGTGTGTGTGACTGAGTGACTGTGTGTGACTGAATGACTGTGTGTGACTGAATGACTGTGTGTGACTGTGTGTGTGACTGTGTGTGACTGTGTGTGTGACTGAGTGTGACTGTGTGTGACTGTGTGTGACTGAATGACTGTGTGTGACTGTGTGTGTGACTGTGTGTGTGACTGTGTGTGTGACTGTGTGTGACTGAATGACTGTGTGTGACTGTGTGTGTGACTGTGTGTGACTGTAAGTGACTGAGTGACTGTGTGTGTGACTGTGTGACTGTGTGTGACTGAGTGACTGTGTGTGTGACTGTGTGTGACTGTGAGTGACTGTGTGTGTGACTGTGTGTGTGACTGTGTGTGACTGTGAGTGACTGAGTGTGTGACTGTGTGTGTGACTGTGAGTGACTGTGTGTGTGACTGTGTGTGACTGTGAGTGACTGTGTGTGTGACTGTGAGTGACTGTGTGTGTGACTGTGTGTGACTGTGAGTGACTGTGTGTGTGACTGTGTGTGTGTCTGTGTGTGTGTCTGTGTGTGACTGAGTGACTGTGTGTGTGACTGTGAGTGACTGTGTGTGTGACTGTGAGTGACTGTGTGTGTGACTGTGAGTGACTGTGTGTGACTGTGAGTGACTGTGTGTGTGACTGTGTGTGTGACTGTGTGTGTGACTGTGTGTGACTGTGAGTGACTGTGTGTGACTGTGAGTGACTGTGTGTGACTGTGAGTGACTGTGTGTGACTGTGAGTGACTGTGTGTGACTGTGACTGTGTGTGACTGTGTGTGTGACTGTGTGTGTGACTGTGTGTGACTGTGAGTGACTGTAAGTGACTGTGTGTGTGACTGTGTGTGTGACTGTGTGTGTGACTGTGTGTGACTGTGAGTGACTGTGTGTGTGACTGAGTGACTGTGTGTGTGACTGTGAGTGACTGTGTGTGTGACTGTGAGTGACTGTGTGTGTGACTGTGAGTGACTGTGTGTGACTGTGAGTGACTGTGTGTGACTGTAAGTGACTGTGTGTGACTGTGTGTGACTGTGTGTGACTGTGAGTGACTGTGTGTGACTGTGAGTGACTGTGAGTGACTGTGTGACTGTGTGTGACTGTGTGACTGTGTGTGACTGAGTGACTGTGTGTGACTGACTGTGTGACTGTGAGTGACTGTGAGTGACTGTGAGTGACTGTGTGACTGTGTGTGACTGTGTGACTGTGTGTGACTGAGTGACTGTGTGTGACTGTGTGACTGTGAGTGGCTGTGAGTGACTGTGAGTGACTGTGAGTGACTGTGTGACTGTGTGTGACTGAGTGGCTGTGTGTGACTGACTGTGTGACTGTGAGTGACTGAGTGGCTGTGAGTGACTGTGAGTGACTGTGAGTGACTGTGAGTGACTGTGTGTGACTGTGTGTGGCTGTGAGTGACTGTGTGTGACTGTGTGTGACTGTGAGTGACTGTGTGTGACTGTGAGTGACTGTGAGGCTGTGTGTGACTGTGTGTGACTGTGAGTGACTGTGTGTGACTGTGAGTGACTGTGTGTGACTGTGAGTGGCTGTGAGTGACTGTGTGTGACTGAGTGGCTGTGAGTGACTGTGTGTGACTGTGAGTGACTGTGAGTGTGACTGTGAGTGACTGTGAGTGACTGTGTGTGACTGTGAGTGACTGTGTGTGACTGTGTGTGACTGTGAGTGACTGAGTGGCTGTGTGTGACTGAGTGACTGACTGAGTGGCTGTGTGTGTGACTGTGTGACTGTGAGTGACTGTGTGACTGTATGACTGTGTGTGACTGTGTGTGACTGAGTGGCTGTGTGTGACTGAGTGACTGACTGTGTGTGACTGTGTGGCTGTGAGTGACTGTGAGTGACTGTGTGTGACTGTGAGTGGCTGTGAGTGACTGTGTGTGACTGTGAGTGACTGAGGCTGTGTGTGACTGTGTGTGACTGTGAGTGACTGTGTGTGACTGTGAGTGGCTGTGAGTGACTGTGTGTGACTGTGTGTGACTGTGAGTGACTGTGAGTGACTGTATGTGACTGTGAGTGACTGTGAGTGACTGTGTGTGACTGTGTGTGGCTGTGAGTGACTGTGTGTGACTGTGAGTGACTGTGTGTGACTGTGAGTGGCTGTGTGTGACTGTGTGTGACTGTGAGTGGCTGTGAGTGACTGTGTGTGACTGTGAGTGGCTGTGTGTGACTGTGTGTGGCTGTGAGTGACTGTGTGTGACTGTGAGTGGCTGTGAGTGACTGTGTGTGGCTGTGAGTGACTGTGAGTGACTGTGACTGTGTGTGGCTGTGAGTGACTGTGTGTGACTGTGTGAGGCTGTGAGTGACTGTGTGTGGCTGTGAGTGACTGTGTGTGACTGTGTGAGGCTGTGAGTGACTGTGAGTGGCTGTGTGTGACTGTGAGTGACTGTGAGTGACTGTGAGTGACTGTGTGTGACTGTGAGTGACTGTGAGGCTGTGAGTGACTGTGAGTGACTGTGTGTGACTGTGAGTGGCTGTGAGTGACTGTGTGTGACTGTGAGTGACTGTGTGAGACTGTGTGTGACTGTGAGTGACTGTGAGTGACTGTGAGGCTGTGTGTGACTGTGAGTGACTGTGAGTGACTGTGTGTGACTGTGTGAGACTGTGTGAGACTGTGTGTGACTGTGAGTGACTGTGAGTGACTGTGAGGCTGTGAGTGACTGTGAGTGACTGTGAGTGACTGTGTGTGACTGTGAGTGACTGTGAGTGACTGTGAGACTGTGAGGCTGTGAGTGACTGTGAGTGACTGTGTGTGACTGTGTGAGACTGTGAGTGGCTGCGAGTGGCTGCGAGTGACTGTGAGGCTGCGAGTGACTGTGAGACTGTGTGAGACTGTGAGTGGCTGCGAGTGACTGCGAGTGACTGTGAGTGACTGTGAGTGACTGTGAGTGACTGTGTGTGACTGTGTGTGACTGTGTGAGACTGTGAGTGACTGCGAGTGACTGTGAGGCTGTGAGTGACTGTGAGTGACTGTGAGTGACTGTGAGTGACTGTGTGTGACTGTGTGAGACTGTGAGTGACTGTGAGTGACTGTGTGTGACTGTGAGGCTGTGAGTGACTGTGTGTGACTGTGTGTGACTGTGTGTGACTGTGTGTGACTGTGTGTGACTGTGTGAGGCTGTGAGTGACTGCGAGTGACTGCGAGTGACTGCGAGAGGCTGTGAGTGGCTGCGAGTGGCTGCGAGTGACTGTGAGTGACTGCGAGTGACTGCGAGTGACTGTGAGGCTGTGAGTGACTGCGAGTGACTGCGAGTGACTGTGAGTGACTGCGAGTGACTGTGAGGCTGTGAGTGGCTGCGAGTGACTGCGAGTGACTGTGAGTGACTGCGAGTGACTGCGAGTGACTGTGAGGCTGTGAGTGACTGCGAGTGGCTGCGTGAGGCTGCGAGTGACTGTGAGTGACTGCGAGTGACTGCGAGTGACTGTGAGGCTGTGAGTGACTGTGAGTGACTGTGAGACTGTGAGGCTGTGAGTGACTGTGAGTGACTGTGTGTGACTGTGTGAGACTGTGAGTGGCTGCGAGTGGCTGCGAGTGACTGTGAGGCTGCGAGTGACTGTGAGTGACTGTGAGTGACTGTGTGTGACTGTGTGTGACTGTGTGAGACTGTGAGTGACTGCGAGTGACTGTGAGGCTGTGAGTGACTGTGAGTGACTGTGTGTGACTGTGAGTGACTGTGAGTGACTGTGAGTGACTGTGTGTGACT